GCATCCTTGACATTTCTGAAGTTTTCAGAGAACTAACATACTGTCATGGTCTGCAGTACCACCCACAGGAGAAAGGAAAAAGAATGGTGTCGTGATTTAAAGTTTGATTCAGTCAAGGCAGCTATGGAAACCAGGGTGTCCGGCAGTACACACCCCGCCGAATTAGGCAGACCAAAGCACCCTGGTTAACGGTTTACGACCTGCATTTTTGTCGATGTACCTCTGCAATTTCATTTACTTGACGCTGAAGACCCGTAATGCGGCTAACCAGTATTCGTGTCAACTGTTGAGTTTTGTGAAGCTCACAGGTCTAGCCGCAGTTAAAGTTTGACTCGTCCAAACGAAAGGGACATCTTGGTGTTTCGCGGCGTTTCCAACATTCAAGTACAAGACAGAGTAGCAAATCTCATGATGTAAGCAGGGGTCTTGTGTCGTGCGAACTATTAGGGATGGAGCAGGAACGTACGAACAGAGACGGGATGGGTGGTGAGCAGAGCCCCGAGAGGTTTGAATTCAGAAGAAACCCCATTGGAGAGCTGTTGAGATCCTAGCTAACAAATCGGTCGTATAACATCATTGTAGGGACAATCAGTGCGTCCGGTGGATAGTTCTCTTCTAAGCTGTCTTCATGATGGCGCGTTTTCTGAGGAGCGAACTTCTTTAGGCAGTTAAATGTGTGAGTTGTTGTTTTGGGGGCAAAACCTTCATAAGCTGCTCTCATACTTCATATAAACTGGAAGTCAAACTTACTTAAATGAGAATTGCACTTTGAAAGTGTATGCCAAGTGACCTTTTTTAGGAAAGCAGAACTAGTGCTGTGGCACCAAACAGTGAAGTTGCTCAAAGCAGCTATCACGAGATTGTAATAATAATATTGATAAATTATTTTGGATGAAGAATAACACGAATACATGTTTTCTTTACATACAGTTTTTCAATGTTATTGTTCCCAGTGCAGCTGAGAAAATGTAAAAGACAAATCAATGGTTACGGATATGAGACTGTCTGGATAACATTCAGGTAAACCCACCTCGTTACGCTCCAGAATACGAACCTCATACTGAAGTCTACGCTTACCTCTAAGCAGGTCGGTTGATGCAATTTAAACACGTCTACACTGATTGAAGAAAGCGTCAAATATAAGTGATCATCCGGATTTAGGTGCGCTGCGCCTCACGGAACGTTATTGCTTGCAAATCTTGAATCGCTTGAACCTTCCACAGTAGTAGGGGAATTCAGTGGCCATGGTGAGTGTAATCAAGTGAATTGTGTCGGCTGACACAAAGCTGGCAGTCGGTCAAGCTTGCAGAAGCCTGCTGCGAGTGGCGGCAATGAATGTCACCTTCTGTATTTGCGGTGAAGACATCATCCAGATAGGCATAAGGAGAATCCAGACCACGCAACACATCGTGGGTGAAACGCTAGGAGTTTCTCGCAGCATTCCGTATTCCGAAGGCATGCAGAAATTCAAACAAGATGGGCGATGTAGTCATTGCTGTCTTCGGAATGCCCTCTATGTGAACCGGCGTATAATGAAACTCACGTGTCAAAGGGTGTATGTGATACAGTTAGCTACGGTCTGGAACCTTTACAGCGTCGAGTCTTTAGAAGTCAGCACAGGGCTGCGACTCAGTGCCATTTTTCTTTAGGGACACATACAGAGAAGGCCATGGTCTGTTGGAAGGCACGATGACCCCAATTTCCAACATATGTTCAGGCCCAGTCTCAGTGGTCAGCTGTTTGTCTTGGGATAAACGTAGCGGTTGAGCAAAAACTGACGGTTCACCAGTTTTCAGATGGTGCGATTCGGCAGGAGTCACACAAGGTTTACCAGTTATGGGCCTCAGAGTGTTAGGAAATGACTGGATGATGGAAGCATATGGGTAGTTACCCTCTTAGAAAAAACCATGAATTTCACTTAAATGTTTATAACTTCATCAAACGCTTGTACATAGGTATATAACAAGTGAATACCTGGTCCGATATCCTCTAATCTCTATTTCGTAGTGATATCCTCAGCTTCAGACTGATTTTCATTACTGTCGTGCTCACCTTCATCTTCTTCCACCTAAGCTTACCTCTAAACAGTTGGTTCTGGATACTTCTTGAAGTAAGTTTTACAGTCAGTCCAAAGAACTCACCCAGATGTATCATGGTTGATCTACTCCTGCGTATTTTTGTGCTTCTGTTTCGATTTTCGCCTGCTGCTCGCCTTTGTTATTCACTTTTCAGGTTTACCTAACCAGTTCTGCATTCAAATGGAACCCTAGAAATCGCATTTGTCAGTGGGCACTATACCATCAAAACCTTATGACGAAGGCACACATCCCAAGGTCATAAGTGCGATGCGGCCACACCTTCAAGAATGAATATCGGAAGATTCAAACGATAACCAGATAATCTTCAAATTCGAACTGAGCCTGCTTCAACACACCTCCTATGTGCCATAAATAACAGTGTCTAATGTATAGCTTTACATTGTACGCAATAGTCATTCCTCATTACCAAAATGATCAAACCTGTAAACTGGTTTGTATTCATGTAGCCTACGTCGTATGAAATATATACTATTATCATTACTGTCAGGAAATGTCAGCACTTAGATAGACCTGGATCGCAGGGGACGCAAAGCCAGATACAGAAAGTGTAGTGATTAAATCTATCAACTTGTGATTACCCGCATCTACCAGCAACTGAAAGTACCATAAGAAATCCATATCGATTACGCTGACTGTCTCGTCAGTCACAATGATGACTCAGCAAAACGAGTGGAGCAGTCCAAGGCCAAGGCAAGTAATTTACTGCCGCAGATAGTGGTGGGTCAGCCATTAGCAGTACACAGTTACAGAGAAGTCGGTCGCAGTCACTCTTCGGGTGTTGGTGGGATTACACTACTGCTCCACTATCTACCACGAAACGTAAAGCAGAAAAAGGACCAGTTATGCAGAGGAAGCAAAAAGCAAGGGTTCGCCAACAACATTGGCTGCTATCACGTGCTCGCTTACAAGTTCCCTGCCTACTTACACCTAAAATTACACGATATACTGCACTTTTTGGCATTTTCACCACACTGTCTGTGGCGTCAACAGGCCACAGGTTGCAGCTTCCTTGATTTCTATTCAGAGTGAAGCAGATCTAGAACGGGGCCGATAAGGATGATTACATGACAATCAGTATCCTCTCATCTCCTTTGAGATGCTGTGTGGTTCCTCGTACAGTTTGGTGACATGAGAAGCAGATTCGAAGTTTTTCGTAGATCCACTAGGCAGACAGACATCCGTGATAAAACTAGGATTGTTGTTGTGCTGATGGCCAATATCAGTCAAGATTGCAGCCAGCTAACTTCTGCCGCTCTGTTCACAGCCTGGGCTAGCCCCAGCAGCGGAAGTTGGCAAAAAGTCGCAAGCACTCTGGGAACCGGCTACGGAAGGCATTGAGGCCATGACTGTTAGAGAAAAGCATCGGTCTTGAAATACGAAACAAGCTGCCGAATCTGGCAAAGCATTTGGATGGGCTTGCGATCACCTGGATGGTCATTATGAAACAGTTCCTGCACCTTTTGTCTGTCGATCAGAGCAAAACTGCCTATAAGGGCCTGCTTCAAGCAGTCATAAAGGGTTGGAGTGAGGTCATAGAATCATTCACGAAGCCACTTCATCAATGTTTACTGGAAGACCGATTACAGTTGAATTGGACTTGTGAGTTAATTTGCCCGGGGTAAATTGAGCTTCGACATGGGCGAACCATGCTGAAGAGCAGTATGCATAGAAAGGAGGAAACTATAAGCTAACTGCCATCCACTTCAAGGTCCTGACTTTCAATCAGGTCAAATACCTTGTCAGAAGTAACGGCAGTTAATCATAAGTTAAGTGTTATTGCATCTCATCATTTGTAGGAGGCTGGCTGTGTTATTACTAAGTAACACAACTTATTCCCACAAGTACCGAGCAATCAGTAACTTGCCTACGTGTGAGTAACGAGGAAACAGACTAATAACAAACACATTGGACGGTAAAACAGGGTCAGAAGGGCAGTTTGCTTATTAGCCGGTAGTAAAAAGGTTATATTGGGAGAAAACGCCGTAACTTACCTTTCAGCAGATGGGTGAACTATGGAATGTGTGTATGTGGCTGTTGATCAACAGGCTAGTCAACAGGCTGATGCCCACACGTTCTTACAAACTCACAAGATAAAAGATGCCGTCTGATGCCGTAGATTATGCAGTCAGCACTTAGACGTTCTAAATACTTAATTTTTTCAATCTAGTAGTTTTTAGTGCCAAGGAGGCGAACTACTAGGGCCATAGAATCAGTGGTTACTAGTCGAACCTTACCTGCATCGCTTAGTTGCTCTTAAGCTGCATCTAGTAGAACGCCGAAGGATCTGAGGGGCAACACTTATGAAGTACTACGCTGCTCACACTCCCCTTATCCGAAAAGGTTCCTCATCAGCTTAAAAAAGAAACTTCACCTTAGGTCAGTGGTTACGAGTGTAGCGTGACTGAGCACATACAAAGATCCGAGCTAATTCGTTTGCAGTTGGAGTTTGTAAACTGTAGTACTTCCTTCCTTCAAAATTTGTTGCGGCTCCACCCCCTGATGCTCTCATAAGGAGGTTAGGTGCGCATTTAGAGTTCTGTGGTACTGTTCGGCTGTACTTGCGAAGCTTTTCGTCATCTACAGATCAGGAGGAGTAATACCACCTTGAGACTAGATTAATTAGCAGTCGACCATCTCTGTCCTCTTAAGTTTTTCGGGACCGGGAATGCAACTTTGAGTATTCCAAGCCTAGAACGTACTCCAATAAGATGGACGTAGAACTCAAAGAATCATCGTTCACCAACTCTTCAACATGAAGTTTGAAGTTTGAACCAAACTAGTATCAGCGCTTAAACTATGTGGTGGTGTCAGACGCAAAAAGCCTAAGTAAAAATAAAAAGTAAAATTGTTTTATTTTTAAGATTATTGTCTGATAGGGCTAAACCTCTCACCGGAGCTTTTGTTTTTCTGAATAGCGACATTGTTATCAGGTGCGTACTACCAACGTAAATGTATCGTAGACAGCAGTTTGACAGACTGAATCCCCGAAATGTCCTTCCTAGTAGACATACTCTGTTTATTAGAGGGCTACCAGGGTCTACGGATGTAGCCAAAGTGAAGTAAGGTGAAATGCACTATATATTTTTCTCCTGTAGAGACTTTTTTAGTAATGAAACGAATTCCAGGTGCTCGGTGGAGTTTTTTTCTACCTCAGAAGATAAGAAAAGATTTTCAGTTGCCATACGGTTCAAATCTCATGAGATCGCAAGCGAAATGTTACGTCGGTAAGTCCAATTTTCTTTCTATTTAGCAGACATAATGGTAAAACTATGTTCGGTTACCCTGTGGAACTCACTTGGTTCAAGGATCTGAAAAAGGCTAGAGCAAAGAGTAAGTAGCGGTGTTTGCACTTAAACCCCTTAGTGTTTGAAGAACAACGGCAAGCCAGGCGATTTCCTCAAAACAATCGTGGTTTCCGTGGTCCGGAGAGGAGGAGTATACAGTCTCCTGGAAACTACGGTGACAACCGACGTATACGAACTGGTTCATCTTCTTCGGGTGGTCGAGGTTATAGAGACAATGGAAGGGACCGTAGGAGCATTGACCGCAGGAGTTTGGACCGTCGAAGTGTGGACCGCAGAAGTACAGACGGCAGGAGTATAGATCGTCAAAGTACGGATCGTAGGAGCGTTGGTCGCCACAGCACAGACCGAAGAACTGTATCAAGAAGCCGGTCGTTTACCGGATCGTCATCCAGAAGCGCTAGCAGATCAGCTGCGTCCCGATCTAGATCAGCGTCTCATGCAAGGTTAGGCAATACTTTATTAAGTTGTGAATTTTTCTCTAATAGTTGCATGCAAGCTTAATTTATGTCAACTGGTAGCATCCAGGTGATTTTGTGCCATCCAAGTGAGCTCACCTCAGTTTTTTCTGGAATTAAATCACGAAACAAATGAGCAGAAACATGAGGGCTGGTGGTACATATTTGTAACTTCTATTGTAGTATTTCGCGGTCGCAGCTGGTCATTAAATTTGGGATGTCATCCCCAATGACTTATGATTCCAATCTTGGCAATAATAAGATTTTGAATAGCAGTTTGCAAAACATGAATACAATCTGATCTTCCGAACAGCTAGTCATACTGTGGTTACGCAGCTGCCTATGTAGTCGTGCCCTTTTTTTACCGCCGCCTTACTCCCATCTGAGCGACTGTAGAACATTGTGGGGTTAATTGTAGGATCATGCTTCAGCAGTCATCTAGCCATTCGTACGTCAAGTTCACATGTGACAGGATTGTTTGTCAATCACTATTATTGCTTCCTAAGGACAAGTGCATATCAGTCAGCAAGCTTCTTTAGCTCAGTACCTATGCTCACACGGGCATTAGTCACAATTTTGAAGACTCGTATGATCGTCTTAGCCTCATTTTGTGGGGAGGATTTTAGCGTATAGTCGGCTGGATGTTGTAACACTGCTTGATTTATGTAGGGACACTGGAAGCTGGATGTAGCATTTACATCCGTATTCTGCTCCCAAATTACAAGCTAAACACGATTCGCTCATAGGCGTCATGCAGGTTTTTCTTCCGGAGTAATCCTAGAGTTTCACTTGCATCGTCCCATGTAGCATGGAGCTGTAGGTTGAAGCACCGTGTAATCGTAAATAAGTTGATATGGACACAAGGTTTGCCAGAGATAGCGAGATTTCCCATTTTTGCATACTTCCACTGACATGTGGCTCATGCAGATCTTATGTACGCATTTCGCATAATTGTAAGCTTGGAAAATATTATTTATCGGTGTTTTCGTATAACAGTTGCCTTACTGATTAAGTACCTCAAACCAAAATTTATAACTAAGTCCCGCATACTTAGCATATAAGGGCTGTCAAAGGTGGTGAAAAGTAACCAACAGAGAGGAACGAAAAATTAGATGAAGTTAGTTTATGGGTGTATCGGCACCTCTGAGATCAGTTCTTAGCCATGCCACCTACAGCTTCCAACCATGTGTCGTCATGCAGACGAGGAAGTTCCTCTACGCACGTCAGACTAGCAGTCAGATTTCGTGCAAAGAAACCATGTCCTAACCACCCTTAACGTTTATCCGGCCTAAACTTATCTCGGCTGGTGTGCGATGAAGCAGAGGGTAACTACACATGCATAACGCATTTCCCAGTCAGCTGATTAAATATGAATTCACAACCTCATCAGCTGACTCTTTTCACTGGTGTGGAAACACCATGACGAAACCTATGCTACGAAGGCATCGGCGGTCGAAAAAACTGTAGCCTCCTCATATCCTCTACTTTTCATGGCTATTTGCAGCTATATAGTAGGACAGAGTGAACTGTAGACAGAAATTAATGTAGTACCTCGTGCACAAGTTCACTGACTCGAATTGCCACAGTAAACAAACAACAGGTGGACAGAAAAGTGGTATCAAAGTAGGCAAAGTTGTATGAAAGAATAAACAATCTGAGGACAAAGGTTAGTGCGAATATTCAAGCAGCTTTAAATGTCAAGGAGTGAATACATCTGCGACATTGTGACCAACTTCTGGGCATGTCTAAGAATTCTCAACCCCTGATTCATTTTGTTTGGGGATTCACAAGCAGGTAGTCTACACCTCCCCAACATTTGCGGACTTCATGCATTGGTGCCATATCTTGATCCGATCACCCTAAATCCTCTTCCAACCTAATCCAACTTCGAGCCTGGCACATCGAGGTAGGTGGTGGTTCGGCATTCACAGTACGTGTCCGAACCGTTTTTGTCGACTAATGTCTGCAACCCCGTCAATTGACTTATCTGTCTGGTCAATTACCCTTCGCCTGATGTCAACATTTCTCACACGGTGTTTACACCAAGCGTGATGAATGCTACAAAGGCATCTGTGATTGGAACCCCATAGTCTTTTCATATCCTCTATATATACCGGCCATGTCTCATAGCCGTACAACAGGAGAGAATGGACTGCAGCGCAGTATTCTCGTCCTTTGATAGATAGTCGAATATTTCTCCAGTTGGAAAATTCCAAACGGGCCTATATCCGAGCTGAGATTTCGTCAGCAATCAGCCGCTTCGGGTTGATTCAACTCCCAGAATATGTGAAGTGATGAACAGATTCAACCACTTCACTCCTTATCATTAGACTAGGAGTAGTTGCAGACCAGCCGTGAAGCATCATCTTACATTGGACAGATGCTAGTGAGACATGCCAAACATACGCAGATTTCTGCTGAATGCATCTAGCTTACCCCTTATGTTGTCAGCGTCTTCATCCAGGAGGACATTATCATCTGGATACTCTAAGTTAACTAGATGATTTCTAGCAAGTAGGTCAATTCCTGTGAAGTCAGACGTACCTAAGGTTATGTCTATTAGTACGTCTATGACGAAGTTGAATAGGAACGGTGGTAGTGGGCATCTCTGGTGAACACCGCTAGTTGTCCATTCTGATGGTAACTCTCCATAGACCCTACACGGCTACATGAGAGAAAACTTTGTAAATCGTCATGTGCTTGTTCGGTACTCTCGTCACAATCAGATACTACCACAGCCCCTCATGACCAACAGTCATTCCGCCTTGTCAAGAAATATGGCATGCCGGCCGACGGTAGGAATGCCTGTGTTCCAGAACCTGTTTAGGGATAAAAAAGTGATCAATGCGCCACCACCTGGGTTTGAAACCTGCTTGTCTTTCTCGAATGTGCTCTTCTGGAGCTGTAGTTAGAATCTTGGACAATATTAGTTAAACAAATTCCCCATGGTTGTCACAAGATTTCTTATAGACTGGGATGATCAAAGAATTAGACCGCTTAAATGGCACCCCTTCTGATTCCCATACACTACCTAGTACCTCCGTCAAAGTAGCAATTTCTTACCTCAATCCTTGAAAACTTCAGGTGGCGAACTGTCATCCAGCTTCTTTGGATCGTTTCAGGTTCGATACAGCCTTCTCAGCTTCAGAGATAGAACCGACATCTACATCCTATTTCAGTTCTGGGTGGATGTTGTGCAGCTGAAGCGTTGAGACTCAGTCTGACTGTGCTTCAGTGTTCTGCCCAACGTTCTAGCCTCCTGTCCTGGGAGGTTCCTTTCTTTTCGGTGACGGTTTCAGTAACCATCATCTTTTTCTTGCCGGTATACTTATTAAGCCTTAGTGGTTGCCGAGTTTTACTTATTGCTGATGCCTTCTCTATCTCTTTCTTGCTTTTGTCACCAACCACTGCTCGCTATCATTACGAAGATTATTGGTCAGCTTGCGTTTGAGTTGCTTTCGCTTCTCATCATGGTCAGAGCTATGTGGGATCAGTCTTTTCACACCAATCAGTTTGGATGACGTCGCGGAAATCCAGTGGTGTTTGCTAACCTTCGGGTTTAGATTACCAACTGTTTTAACCGCTGTTCCTACACCAGACCTAATGTCACGCCAGGTTTTCTCAGGATGAGCATTGCTGTAACGGTAAATGCTTAGCTAACTCCTCTCTAAGTGCTTACTTGGCGTCCTCATTGTCCAATCGACCACGAACAGGCTTTACTATAGCCTGTTTTCTGTAACCAATAAGGGGCAAACATACACGAGCCGTACTAACTCATGTTTGGAGTTCAAACAGGTACTCCAGAAAGAGCAGCAATCCTCCAACGATGGGAAAACGATCTGTGTCCATCGTTGGTTTAATGTCGGCGGACACCTTATGAGACAGTCTCTCCTTGTGCTTAAAGTCAGTGCTAGCCAGAAGTGAGTGATTGTCAGCTCAAAACTGCAACAATCACCGTGGACGGCTCGTTGACATTGGATTCGGTAAATACCTCCGAGATGTCATTCCGACTGGTTCAGCTTCCTTGCTTGAGCATTGAGGCCACCTGCCACTATGGCCACATCTGAACGTTTTGCTTTGTGTAGCAAAGTTGACAGGTTCTCAGAATTCATCCTCTGCACCTTCCGAACTGTAGTCGATAAGCGCATAGGTGGATATTACGAATGGACATCGGTTGGTCTCACAATCCTTCCCAGTTCTTACAAATCCATTCAGTAGGACAGCACATAAACAGATGTTGACTGGTATCCAGTCGAGAAGTGCACTTTCGGCCTTACATCCTAGTGCTATGCCTACGTCACAGGGTCCACGAAAGCTAGCCACTGGGTCTTCGGATATTTGTTAAGTGAATTTTAAAGATTCAGGTGAGGTCCTGTATTTGTCTCAAGGATACAGCATACATTCATGGCTCGGAATTCCAGAGTTTTGGCGAACGATGCTTGCTGTCTGACTTGGTGTAACTTCCGCACGTTGAAAGCTCAAACATGAAATTAATGATAGGATTTTGGAATAGCCATGAGGTTTCGATAGCTTTGGTCGCTCGCAGTGGTTGCAGAGTAAGAGGTGTAAGGGGCTTAAAACCAGTATCAGGAGGTGAAGACAAAGAAAGAGACAGAGTTCAGGAGGATATTATACTTAGTTGTGTACTCGAAAAATGAACTGACGAAACGTACCTAGCCACCTTGTACATATTTGTGCAGTAGGCAGTGAGCGACACATTGTGTGAGGGCTAGTGATACCAACAAAGGCTGACCAAGTCTCGGTAAGTGAAGCAAAGCTCAAACCCGTGACCCAGTGGTCGATAGTCATCTTGAACCACTGACCCACGGCTCTCGGCTGCCCACAACGTGAAAGGTTGTTGCTTCTTAGGGTACCTAAAAGAGAAAAAGATTCATGTGGCCGCATAGCCCATAGAACATCTGCTTGAGACCTGTCACACAGCCATTTGCTTTTTGTTGTTTTGACGTCAGGTTCTAAAGCCGCATAAAGAAAACTCATATCGCCGACGCCGGAAGACCGTCGGATAGGGAGAAGTGTACTATTCTGAGGTTGACCTTTTCTAACCCATCCCTTCCGGTTGGGGAAGCCAACATCAGCGTGGTGCTGCTGGTCATCCGAGAAAAACACTCTGCTGCTGTCACACCCCGTCATGCTAGCAGTAATGCTACTTCACCCTTAGACACTCACCTTAGTGTGTTAATTTAAACTAGAAGGGTAATTGCTTTTCGACTTACCACTACCCAACAGACCTTTTTGACGTAATAGAACCCCGAAGGAACAAGCGTTCCAGTCAGTATAGCTCGTTGGTTCATTGTGATATTCAAGCACGACCGTCACTTCAAGGTAGCAGCTATCGTCCGGGTAAGCCATAAAGTGGTACATCTGACCCTTGGTAGACAATCGTGTTTCACGGCGACCCCATAGATGGCAAAAGCTGAGCAGGCCTTTTGTATCTGTGCAGACGTTTGTCGCTCACTGACCCACTAGCTCTAACCCGACTTCACAGGTATGTCAAGTGGTTGACGCACGCAAACACTCCACCGTCTTTTGTTAGACACGGTACCACCGAAGACCAGTCTTGATGCAACAGTTTGCGTTTGGTTGGTAAGAAATGTATATGAAACATTCTAAAATTACCACCAAAAGTGTCCAGAAGACCCTACATCTTAATAAGGCTTTCACCTAACGGGATTATCACGTTAAAATAACGTGATTTTCTATTTGAGCTCTGAGATTCCTGATAAATAACATCAGTTTATTGAACTGTTTCTCTCAGTGGGTTAAAGGACTTCTACGGTTGCCTACAGTGAGTTGTAAGTCGTCATTCTAGCTGTGTTTTTAAAGCATAAAACTTAAACTGTTAACGAATCCCTCTGGAACAGTCAAGCAGACGATTCTGGAGTACAATCCTGTCCAGCGAACCTGTAGGAGCTCTATTACCAAGAAATCAATGATCCCTGACCTGGAGTACAAATGAGCGTTTAAGCATCTTACTAATAGGGATCATGACCTAAAAAAACCTAGTTTGCTCCTTGTGTGCCCCTACTTCACTCGTTTTGCAGAAACTTTTAAGAATGATGACAGCAAATATTTTTGACGCTACATGTAGCAGACTGGTACCTTAATGACTATCACAGTACGTAGACCCTTCGTGAAGATGAATATGAAAACAGCTTCATTCAGGAGTAACAGTAGACTCAGTTTGCCATACGTCAAACAATGCAGTTCGTACCCTGGCTACAATGTTACTACTTAGATAGAGCTTGGTGCATTATAGCAGCTTAGGACTTGAAGTTTACTACGAACAACCTCTTCGCTGGATGGGTCAGTGTTGATTGGTGATGATGAAGCACAAGTTGATGTTGCTGGATTAAAAAGCCAGTTAGTTTGTTTTTTGAAGTGCTTTGCTCACCCTCCCTGTGCCTACAAAGGATATGTATCCACCTACCCCCTCATCGAAGCTAACGGTTCATGCAGCCAGTGACTTCGATAAACGAGGGCAAATCCCGATTTTTACCCGTTTCGCTCTCACCTGACCACGTTTTTTGATCCTTATACAAGCTGCATGTTTGGTCGCGTAAAGGTCTTATGCGTACATGTCTGCCAAAGTCAATCTACGAGTGCCAGGACAGACTAACTGAAAAGGTCAACGTAGAACCTCGTACAGTAGTGCATCGGTTCAAGTTACTACACTTCACAGTAGCATGAAAAGAATAAGTGGATAGAAAAGACTCAAAGTAAACAGATATTTGTGGGGAATTTAAAGATGAGGGTTAGTCAAAACATTCGAACTTCAGAAGACGTCAAAGGGGGAATACATCTGCCACATTATGACTGATTTTCAATCATTTTACCAAGATTCTGCAATAATTGCTATAATTTTTGGCAATCCCCTCAGGCATTCTGCATTTCCCCAGACTCGCGTCAACAATCATGAACTGGTGTCGCTTTTTGGTTTTGACACAGTCTTCTTATAACCTAATCCAACTTTGCTAGCTATATATGTCGATATAGACTGTTACTCAGCATGCGCAAAACATGTCCGAGCCACCTCAGTCACTGAAGGTTCACAACCTCATCGACTTACTTGCCTTTCTTGCCTAGTACCCTTCACCTAACCTTAACTTTGCTAAAATGGTAATTCCACAAAACGTGAAAAGTTGTATGACTTTATCTGTAATCAAAAACGTGTAACCTTTTCATATCTGTTTTCAACAACCATGTCTCAGTCATATAATAGGACAAAATGGACTGCAACGGAGCATACTAGTCTTTTAATACATGGTGGGATATTTCACCAGTCGACTCCAGCAACGACACTTTGGCAAGTGCAAAACGCGCCTTCTGGATTTGAGATGAACCAATCGGGAAAGCGTCTTGGAAGTATCTACGAAGTCTCGTACCAACGAAGCAACAAAGGTGATCGCCTTTTGTCGTTGGCAATGACCACAGAGCGAGAGATTGAGGAAGAGTTGTAAGACATATAATGTATAATGTTGGTATCAGCAAGTGAAGCCAAAAGAGGAGGAGGAGACATGTGTGAAAGATAGGCCGTTTGATTGGATTTTGTATACGACTGAAAAGTGTGAGTGACTGACTGGTTGTCAACACTTAATTGTCCCTGCAGGGTACATCAAAGAGAAGATTAGTGTGACCGCAGAGTCCTTGGGACATCTGAATGAGGCCTGTCACACAACGTTTTTTGCATTGCTGGTATGTTGTTTGATTTTTCTAACATCGGGGACGAATAACCCATACCTCCGGCATTAGAGAGCCGTAGGGCAGGAATGAGTGCTATTTTCTGGGCCAACATTTTTGACCCACCTTTCCGTAGGGAAGACAGTGTCAGCGTGGTACAGTTGGCCATCCACTGCCGTCACATCCCATCCAACCAGCAGTATGATTTTACCCTCGGACCTCTGTGATGGTAGCTGCTTTTCGTCTAACCGCTATCCAACACGCTTTTCTAGCATGGTAGGACCTCGGGGGAACAAGCGTCCCATTCAGTGTGTCTCGGGTTGTTATAGTATACAACACGTTAAAATAGCAGCCATCAGTTTCGACGAGCGCCAGCTGAATCATAGACAGATAATCGAATAGTGAAGTTTCGGTTTTGACACTGTGGAGTGGACACCAGCAAGGTGAACTGCTGGTGCCAGAGGGTTTCCGGGTATGCGCACTTTAAGCACTAGTTGATATTTGAATGACTACTGGGATCTAGTAAGAGGGTCTCTGAGACACTACATATCAATAGCGAGACTTTCTTGAGTCTTAATCAAACCTTTTTATTACCGGATCTTTGAAGTCCGAACGTTGAAGGTAACTTATTTGAACGTTATGCTCGGTTTCAGAATAGTTAGGTCAGATATTACATTATGGGATAGATTTGTGGAAGCAACTGTTTAGGGACTCAGGATGGTGCATATGTAACAGTTTTAATCATTAACGGTAAGCTGATATAGAGGAACGCGAATAAAGATGAATTTAATAATGATAACGAAGAGGCAGTATAGTTCGTATTTAAAAGTAAGGATAATAACATGATACAGAATAGTTGAGTTCTTAGTGCTTGTGAAGAGGTTTGGGCAGTTTATATGAATCGGTTTCAGGGTAATTCTGTTCTTTGTATGTGGGCTGTGATACTGAGTAGACCCCAGACCATTATAGGTGATTGTCTTAAAAGACCACTCCAAGTATTTGACTTGGGCGTGATTCACAAGGCATTTGAACAAAATGAGGTACTGCATTCCCATGTTTATCGTTGATCACATAGGATTGGTACGTCATTCGTCACTTCCGAGTCCTGGGGCCTTTGTGAACCACTGATTTGAAATCACAGTCTTCCAACTCGACTGGGTGGACTGTGCATATACCAATCTGGTTTTCAGCAGTGCGTATTTGCTTCTACCCTCACCTTTATAAAAGCGGCTCCCCTACGAGAAGACAATGATCAGGGCTTAGATTGCAGAGCTATAAAAGCCCGAAAGCCACTATCGACCATACCATTCTACGGCGTTTGAGCAGTTTCGCTAATTGTTTTTCCACTGTTAGTTCTGTGGTTTTCTGCGACTTTCGATTAAACAGTCTTCGTTGTTTTGTCTTCCACTTTACTGCTTTGTATCTTGATGTGCTGTAGCAACTTTGACCGTTGAAGTCCTTTGTTGATATTAACCGACTGAACCCTAAAGTACCAATAACTTCAAGGCTTGTGATCGTAAAAGCAGGCTACTATAGGCCAAGGGATACTCAAGATTCACATTGTACGTAGCCCATTATTGTTACCGTCAACTGAAGTTCTTTCTGTCTGACATATTTATTGTTAGGCCTAAACTAAGTCCTATTTTCACTTTTATACCTTTTTATTGTTATGCAAGCGGTATTCTCTCTGGCGTGTTATTTGCATTGTCTCTGAACCCATTAACCGATTAATTTCGACTGTCAACTACTTGTAAATAAATAAGAGATTCTAACTGCATTTTGCGTATCTTAAAATGAATTATTTTACCTAATCTATTTTGATTTTTAATAACTGACGTATTTGTAGCTAGAAACCATATTCGTTTCCGTCTAGAATCCTGTTTTGGCAGTACGCTTTTCAGTTTCTGATTCCTCATGACCAGCCACTGGTGAAAAGAGGATTGTGAGGGATTTTAATGTATACACGTCACGTGGTTTTTACATCATGTGAACCAATATTGCTGAATTTTTTACAAGTGACTGGATACAACTATGGTTATGCTATGATTAACCTTACTTTTTTTGATAATGGATTCGTATATATCATTTTATTTTTTCCCCAGACATTCCTTGCCATCAAATCCTGGTGATTCAATGAATGCCAGCGAATCTGAATTTAATGGTCGTAACTACGATGACCGACGTATTTCCCGCAATCGATCTCGTCATTCACGTGACCCGAGTAGCAGTAGTAGTCGATCATCAGAAGAAGGAAGACGCCAAAGTTCGTCTAATCACCACTCAGAAAGTCGAAATAATGCACGATATGGTCAAAGTGGAGGTGAAAACTCATCTCCAGATTATCAAGCACGCAAAAACCAGCGACTTTCAAGCAAGTTTTTACCATTTTCAAGTTAAAATAAATAAGATATTTTTGACTTTAGCTTATGAGTAGTAACTTATTTAGTACGATTTTTGTTTCTTTACATTGGTTGATCTCTTAAATACCGCTTTCTCGTGCTTCAGGGTCACCTTCAATGAACGAAGAAAACCTTGCCTTTTCGAATGCTCCTGCACCTAATCCTGAAGGCGGATCTTCACTGGTAAGTGGACTTATACAACTAAGACGCCGTGGTCAGCAGGGTTTTGAACAGTCCCCTGTACGAGGCGGCAGTTTTTCCAGGAGAAACCGTAACTCGTCAGAAAACTCATCATCAGGCGCTTCGGTCGACAGTTCCACCGGTGCTTTCGAATCTCCGAGAAATCACGCCGGGCGTAAACGGGTGCACTCAATTTCACCACCCTACAATGATGTCTCTAATCGTAACACAAAGACCAAAGCTGAGGCGGCTTCAAATAGCGACGAGAAGGGTCAATCTGTTATTGAACCTCAGAAAAGAAGGAAGGTGAAGAATACTCGTTCACCAGCCAACAAGTAATTAAATTTTATATCTTTAGTCTGATGCGAACGTGTGTTTGTCTTCATCTTTGTTTTTCGTCTTTAGCTTCTGGCATACTTATTTGTTCCCACTCTCATTTCGTTCAGAAAACTTTTGTGTGGTGGCTAGACTGGTATCTTTGTTTATGTTTTCACTTTGCAGATTCACTTATAAATTTGTCGATATATAAGCTGTGATTATCAGTCTACCTTGGAGACTTGCAAAGTTAACTGGGAAGTGGTATTGATTCAGTGGAGTCGAATTAATAGTGTCACATTTATCTTGTAAATTGTATCATAGAAACAAATCGTGGAGTGCTAGTATTTACGTCAGTGTTTTTTGTCTTCTAAGTATTGCACTTGCGGCATGTTTTCGAAAGATTGTGGAATTGTTAGGTAGTTTTTCGTTTTAAAGAAACGGAATGTATGGGGCGTTTTCAATCGTAGGCTTTATTTTTTGGCATTCCACAGAAGTTGGTGTTTCAACTTGTTTCCAAAAAAAGACAAGAAGCTTTTTCAGTTTCTTCCGAAACTTTTATCTAGCAGTTGAAAGCGACTAAACGGAGCAGAAAGTGCCTTTTTCACAAATTCCATCCATTTTCATGCAAAACAATGAATGCTGTAGTAGCCAGTCTGAAACACTGCTCTTATCACACAATGTAACTGATGGGACGTTTTTACTCCTTAAGCCCTACTACGATGCACTTGTTCGTGCCATACAGTGCAGGTGAATCAGAGGGTTTGGCAAGTTTTAATGCAACTTCAGGGTTGGTCAGAGCACTTATCTACCTCGTACAGGGTTGTGATACTGCAAGGCTATTCACACATTCAGTTGTAGTTTGCAATTTAGAATCATGTTAACTAAATATATACCGAAGTAATCTCTTCTGTTTAAACTGATTTCGTCCGTCACCTGACGGTTCTGCTCCAAAAAAAATTTTTTAAACTCTGTCAAGCTTTACTTATATATTGTATATTGTACATATTGTATATTCAAGTGACGGTCTATTTGAACAGTAATTTTTAAATATTCCCATTTAATTAATATGAAATGATGCTATCACAAATTCATAATGCATTAACTATTCCTTATCAGTACGGTGGAATCCCTTCGTGAACGCCCAAATACACGCAGCAAGGCGCAACGAGCAAGTCTTCGAAAAACAGATGTGGAGAGTTCAGCAACAATGCGTCAGGCAAATGCCAGTCGTAAACATCGATCAAGTGCTGAGAAGTCAAGTCAAAAATCTTCAACCAAAGATTCTTCTCCAGCACCTGACAAAACTACTTCAAAGAGTGGGCACAATTCACGACGTTCTGAGACTACTCGTTCTCCACTTTCTACCTTCTCATCAAAAACAGCCAAGCGATGGCGCACTCCAGAGGATGAGGTCAGTGATGATCAACCTCGAAAAGGGGAAAAGTGGCCGGTGACTACAAATAAGACAGGGAAGACCAAAGGCAAATCTTCTATTCCACCTGCAAATAATTCTAGTGATAATGATCATTTTGATGCTTCAAAAATCGGTGGTAATCAGTTGACTTCTTCGGGAGGAAAGGATACTAAAACAACGGAATCTTTGATGCCTATACCTGTAACGTCCAACTCTACGTCATCAAATGGTGAGCTACGAATTTTCGTACAGTGGGATTGTGTTAGATGCTTTTTATGTTGATTTTCTAAATGAGATGGCTTGATCTCAGGTCTGTGCACTTGTGAACGGGATGCTTTACCTCGATAGAATATGGTTACCGATTGCATCATTTCGTCTGTTGTCACAGCCACTCACATTTGGGGTTAAGATATTGACTACTGTGTTGATCAGAAACAAACCAAAACCAAGCGATATATCTGACCTTTCCTGTGATATCGGTATGATTAATAGTAAATCAATCAGCTGTGCTAATGACTGTAGTTGAAATCAATCTGATATTTTCTTGGTACTCAAATACTAAATGTTGCGTAGGAGAATTTTTTGAAACTGGTAGTATTTCTTAGCAGCACTACGAAAAAGTAATTCCTACATGCAGTTTTATAACCACCTCATGGTTGATAATAGCTTTTCTCCTGTTAAGACGTGATCATTGTTTTTTGTCGGCATATCATGTACGGTGTTTCCTACCGCAAATTTACGGACACAGAACTAAGGCTTGTCTCTGAGTCTGATTCAATCGACTAAACTCAGTGTCTCAATTGGATGCAAACAGTACAGATATCTTGTACAGTATATATAATTTATTATTATTTATCCCTTGGGTTCCCAGTGGAACATATAGGGCTTCAGTAACACGTCGCCATTTCACTCTCTTCTCTGCAGTCTTTTCAGCCTGGCTCCACGACCGCCTAGAAGCTTTCATTTCTTCCTCACATGATCTCCATGTCACACTCGAACACGCAACTCGTCCTTTCCCATTTGGTTTCAACTCGACGACCTGGCATGGCCTGGTGCGTGATGTTCACAAACGGTCTTCTCAATGTGTGTCCAGTCCAATCCATCTCCACTTTCTCCTGCATATTTGTTAGGTAAAAGGTTCTTGGTTGGTTCGTTGCCAGTCAGTCAGAGTTCCTTGTTGCTTATTCTTATTATTCTGACCACCTAGTCTTCAGTATCGAGTAAGCCGTAGGCACAGCTGTTGATGTATGTCTGTAGTTTGTTGGAAATGCTCTTCGTAACGCACCGAGTTACTGAACCATATAGCGGCACTGACTCGACTGACACTAATGTTGAAAATCTGGATCTTGTTCTTTACGCTGAGTGCAGTGCAGTGCAGTAGACCTCCACACTGACTTGAGGTTAATGAAACCCTGTCTTGCTTTTCCGATCTTGGCTTTGACGTCTTCATCTGTGCCTTTGCCGCCTGTAGTTGAAACGATGTTGCCTAGGTAGATAGGTAGGTAAAGGAGACAACTCCCTTAAGGTTTCTCCCGTTCATGGTGATTGGTGCTTGTTGTTGTTGGTTTGGTATCCTCATCATCTCTGTCTTCTCTACGTCCACTTGAAGTCCCGTCTTCGCTGCCGTGCCTCTCCTGCCAACTTGTTGGTTTTCATCTGTAGATCTTCGAGTTTGTGCAACAAGACATTCGACATAAATCATGATCGGTGAAATCCAACTCTTCTAGTGTCTTTTCATCGGTCAAACAGTGTATACCCATCTCACAGCTCCTCACAGTTAGTTGCATGATCCATCCAGTCCAGTCAACCACAATCAGGAAGATGATTGGTGATAGTAGGCAGCAGCCTTGTCTTGTCTTGCTCGTTTCTTCACTTCAAAGGCATCACTGAGCTTTCCACTGTGGATCACTTGACATGTGGCGTCGTCATATAGCTGTTGGATGAGGTCGATAAAGATTTGTGGTACTCTGTAGTGTTGAAGTAGTTGCCAAATTACTTCTCAGTCAACACTATCGAAGGCCTTTTCAAAGTCGTTGAAGTTGAGGTAAATATCTAGTTGACTGCCATTTTACTCTCTGTTCTATGATGATGGATAGTGTAGGGTTGCAATTTGATCCGCACATGATTTGTTTTTCCTGTAGCGTGCCAGTCCACCTGTTCTGGTCGTAATTTTGAATTCTGAGCAGTTTGAGTCTCTCCAGGATGATGTGGCTAAATATTTTGCTTGGGGTGGACAGTAGGATAATTCGTCGCCAGTTCTTGTAAAGACTTATGTCTTCCTTCTTTGGGAGTTTGACAAAGTAAAATAATTTATGAGGTGACTAAATATTCGAAATGTGAAGATTTTGATCGGTTATGTCTAAACAGGGCCAACTAAATGGCATTGAAAGGCAAACGGCTTTATCGAATAAAATGCGCTTAAATTGTTTTCTAGTGTCAAATGTTAATTGTAAGGAGTGCTACTATCTTGTTAACCAAATGTAACGAAAGACTATCACATGCTTCTTTTATGTTTGTCCATTTGAGAACTGAAGATTGTAATGAATCATTGTGACTGGTATTGGTGGAACTGCAAGATCCCTAACGTTGCACCAATCACCATGAACGAAGGAAACTTATAGGAAGTTGTCTTTTTCACCTACTTATATACCTACGCAGTGTCGTTTCAACTACAGGCGGTGGTGACACAGACGAGAATGTCAAATTCGGGGTCGGAAAGACAGCGAGACAGACCTTACTTCCTAAATCTGGAATGAGTGTGGAGATCTGCACTCAGCATAAAGAACAACATTGATGTCAAGTTACTGCTTCTCTAGGTGATGGTTCAGAGACTTGACGCGTTAGGAAACGCCTATTTGCCAAGGCACCCTACTCGGTAGATCAGAAGTTCCAACGCCACTGTAATTGCAGATGTTTGGACTCCCAGATAGTATCAATAGTTCTCATAATAGACGTGGCTCATTGCCTACAACGCGAACGTGCACATAGTTGCTAGAAGTAAAAAACAGTATGTAGCAATCTATGCTTAGTTAATAAGTTGAGTGGTTGCTGTTACTCTGGATTTCAACCATTTTTTATGAAGATTTCAGTCTATTTTCGTCAGTAAAATATAACACTTATCTGCTCAATCACTCAATGAATAGTTCCCTACTGGTTATTGAAAAGTTTAATTCGGGATCCTAGATGTCCTTGTTTGTATTGTCTGTAAAGTCATTGAATTTCGTTGCGGTTTGTAGTCAAACTGTCTTATCATTTCGTTGTGCGCTTTTTCTGGTTCATTATAAAAAAACAAACATATGTATGCGCTGGGTTATTGCTCTTGCACAGTCCTGCTGTCATTACCATGTGAAATGTCTCATCCCGAGTCGTTTACCGAGGATGTGAATATTCTCAAATTTTCGCAATAACGTAATGCTTTTTCAGTCACAGATCAGAAAGTGTAGTAGCACGTGTGAAAACGAAAGACGTATAGTTCTGTAGGAAGAAGTATACGATTCTTCATCAATCAGAGATGTGGTTGGTTAGATAACTGACCCGACTTTCAAGCAATAGACCTAAGGTTGAAATCCCACACTATCTACTTTGTCTTGAGTAAATTTGTGATACCACAAGCCTGACTGATAGATCTGTACCGACTCTTTTTGCCTCTCCATATTTTTATGTTTTAGTTATCATTTTTTCAAGGATATCGCTTTTAACCTTTCCTAGTTACCTGGTCACTGTTGCTGCACAGTCAGGTAGTCCTTCACACAGTGGGCATGCAGTTCGTTGTTCTCTTCGTAGTTTACGGCCATAACTTCCATCATATCAAGTAAAGTATATTTTGCGATGTACCGCGTACACATAACCAATCAAGGTATTGCTGCAAACAGTTACCGTTGCTGAGTAGTGTTGGCGTTCCCTATAACGTATGATTCTGACGTTTAAGTGACAGCATGACACTTGGAAATTTCACCTTGCTATGTGTTGCTCTCTGTAGATCAAGTCAAAATGTACATTAAGAAAACAAACTAAATTTAAGTAGATTGACATTATTTATGCCTACCCCCTCTTCTCCTTCGGTTAATTGTAATTGATCATCTAATCTTCAGTTCAGTAGCTTGTTTGAAGTGTATATAACGAAAATAAAAGTGCTTGCTTAAGCTAACTGGAAGTATATCTCACTAAACCATATGTATAACACTTCTGTAATATTTTTGTTGCACCAAATCATAGTGTTCCAAACATGGTTGTTCTATTTAAGATATGATCGCATCCAACCAACTGTAATTTGTAATGAAAAATGAACTGCGATATCGCTCTTTAATCCAAAGATCGTAAGAAAGGTTTTCCATGCGCATTAACTGTGGATAATTTGTGCCTAGTTCAAGTGCTTTAATTACAAAGGTTTTAGTTGCAAGACACGGTGCACGTACTTTTGTTTTAATTGCAGGGTAATGCGTTGTACTCACACTCCTGGGTATGTCTCACTAACAGTTCATCGTAAGCAAGAGATATTTCGAGGAACATGTTAGGAAACTGCAGTTCATTAGTAGTCGTAGTTACAACTGATTTATGATTTCACTAGAGAGGACAGTGAGTTAAAGCGGTTTACATTGATCTCCAGCGGTTCATTTATATACCTAGTTGTACTATATATTTCCGCCGGAATAATGTAAAACATAAATTAGTTTGGAGTTTCTTATTTAAATTTTAAAATAATAATGTTTTAACTGTTTCACTTGAACAATAGCTTTTTTGGAATCAGCCGAAAATTCAAATCACATTCAGATTTTGCCAGTCAGTTTATATAAAGCAGCTGGAAATAAACAGGAAAATGTTAAAACGATCATTGTGTTGTTCAGAGCATCTAACGAGATAATTAAATTATAATGGATTCGATACCTCAGATACGATGGTTTATTGACGGGTATTTTCCCAATATCTGGTTGTTTATTATAGATTAAAATGGATTCCGCAGTTACTAAGAGGAAACTCACTTCACATTTTCTGTCCACTAGTGGCATACTCATTTTAGACCTCGCAAGATTGTGTCATTCTGCGAAATATGCACTAATTAATGTTGAATTATTCATTTGGTAGGTTTTGTAGACAACAGATCTGATTTTCTGGATACTTATGTAATTCAACCAACAGATATGTTAAAATGCATGTCACTGCGTGCTTATGCAATCAATGTATGGATACAGTTTATTATTCATTCACAGTATTGATTATCGGCAATGCTTCTGCCGTTTTAGAGGTTAGCAGTTGTATTGCTTGTGCAGCTCAATCATTTTTCCCGAATGGATAATCGACCTGGTCGGTTTTAAGCCTGATTCCCTGCTTACCGTATGTCACTAATAAAGTACTGTAAAGCTTGTATATTGCTATGGTGTGTATTTCTTGGTAGGCTATCTTACTGAGATGTGAGTTGTGGTCAGTTGTTCAGAATTGTATTTTTGTATCATAGTTACCAGTTGCGGTTCAATAGCATAGTTATTTAATTTTCAGCCAATGAGTCATAGGTTCGAACATTGCCTAATCTCAGGATGCTTGCACGGTCATGGTACGATTTGTTATGATCTGACGAATGCATTTGATAAAGTGGTGCCAGAATTTGTGTGTAGTTTTTGAGTTGCGTCCTAATCCTGTGCAATATATTCATGCTCAAGGCCAAAGCAGTCTCACCAGTGGAAGTATTACCTCAAGATTTCAAAATAGAAGCCAATTGAACAATCGACTTCTAACTGTTTTGTGTGCTATCTTGTGTAACCGAAGATATGTGAAATAAAATGTTATACATCACAAAATATTGGTTTGTTACCAGTTGTGGTGTTAGTTTGATTGCGAAATGTTGGGTGTAAATCACATTAGTTCTAGTAGTTCTACTGAACATCTGAGACTTCATCTGTGATAACACGATATATGGTTATCGGTGTTTACCTAGGACCGCTCATGTCAAATATCTTCTTGTAGGTGACTCTTATGCCAAGCGTCATTTGATTATGTTGGATATCAGTGACTCGGAAATACCATACTCATACTGTTCTTATGACGTTCTTGCCTATCATTGTTTACTAGCTATGTGAGACTAGCTGAAATACGTGGTCAGTCCATCACCTTGAGGTGAAGGGTACTTGGGTTGGTTTGTATTTACTAATGCACCAAGTACCTGATGGGAGATGACAGAGATCCTTATATCGTATCGTTATGTGTTAAAAATTTCTTCGAATCCATTTTGCACACGATGTAGATACACCCCATGCATGAGGTGCTTATCCCCCAAAACATGGTCTATGAAACTGAGAAGTCTTAGAAAATCGTTCATATGTAAATAATAATTAGGGAAACAACATTAAAGTGCTCTTTCTTTGAAGTTTCTTCTTACTTAGTATAACCAAATATAGGTACTTTCATCTTCAGAGAATCTCCATTCTGTAGAACTAGTTTATGGAGTGGCTTTATTTGTATGCTATGCTCCTTTGTTACATACTTTTATTTTCTTTAGAGTAAAATATCTTCGTATATTCTCTTATATTAGACCCTAAACTTAAATTTTTCTCTTTTGTTGCAATGTTATTCATCTCAAAGCAACTACGGTTCTACCACTTAGTTAATCTCGTGCCCTCTCCATACGTGTATTTGTATTCAGAATATAAGAAGTGCGGTTTTACATATGAATTACTTTTATGTTAGTATAATCACATTTACAACATTTTCCAATGTTTTTCCCAATAAGAATAAATAGTTATTCAGGAAGGTGTTAAGAACTTTTTCGTTTTACTCCACATTAGTTATTCTCTTTTGTAGATTAAAGCTTAGTAATACTTAAAGGTGGATAATATTCCTGAATTTTACGACAGACATGTTTTGTTTTTCTGTAGATTTTTTTTACTAAACATATATTTCTGTTTGGATAATCTAGATAATACTGGATCAGCTGCCGTCGTTTCTGGTACAGCAACTGTCACTAACAAGGAGCTAGGATCCGGCGATAGACCTGATGATATCGTGAATTTGATCCGCGATCGTAAAGATGCATTGGCAGAGGTAATTGTTTATTTGTTCTTTTTAACTTCCTATTATTTTAAAAGGACTATAAACGGGACTGCGAGGCATTCACAACAGTTGTACGCATGCTAATAAGGTAATTTTGATTTCTGTGTGTATTTTGTCATGTTTCTTTCATCTAAATCTAATATGAATCTGTGCTTTGGCAATTTTAGCATTACTTGGCAATATTCTCTGCCTACGGATAAGGGCTGATTTCTTACCCTCAGAGTGTGGAACAGTGAATTGATTTATAAATAATGGATCTGTTAATGTGAATACTTACGTTAGATGCCAGCCAATATGTCCGAGACTTATACGATGTCTAACTATTAACGGACCATAAACTGGTTGAGTAATTTAAATGTACACTCAAGTTTATTTCAGCTGCAACTACGCCTACGAATCCAGTTGGCGTTTGCTCTTGTGTAGAATGTTTTGATTGGTCAGACAATTATTGATTGGGTGCTAACTGTCATCCTTGTTCGTGTTTTATCGAACCTGGCAAAATGTATATTTTACCTCGATCGGGTGATGATTTTCACATTCTATTCGTGTTGCTCGTTCTGATGCTGCAATTATTGAATTGTCGCCATCCACTATCTACTTTATGCATTAATCGTTTTATTCTAATGTCAATGTGTAAAACTACTGAAAGTAAGTGGCCACATTTCTATTTTTTATTTTTCATTTCACAGTAGCTGTCTCTTCCTTCGTCTGTGTATCGTTTATTCCCATAGCGCCATACCTATCAGACTTATTGAGAAGTTCATGTACCCAAATACTGTGGTTGTTATCAAACCCTATAGTGTATCATCGAGTTGCAACACTGCTCACTTTTCACTCGTAATAATGCTTTATGGTATTCCCAGCACATTTCTCAAAAACCTTAGTGTTCGATGAAATGTAACATACGTGTCTGCATCTGATAACTTCAAATCGAGAAATAATATGCCATATTCCACAAGAATGCTGCATCTTGATTACTTCCGCAACTTGTAATTTACCAAAGAATCAACAAACTACTCTATTTATTTGATTAGAGATGCCGTTAAACGAAGTACGTCGTAGCATATACTTCATCTTTTTCTTGTGCTATGGAAATGATGATTGCAATGTACAGAGGCAACCCAAACTCTCACATGCGTATGATTTCTGTAAGAAATTGAACTGCGTTCAGTCTCCTAAGTTGATGAAGGTAAATCTTCGATCTTCACAATTAAGAATCGTTTGGTTTCTTGGACATAAGTATTCCTAAGACTCAGATTTACGCATACTATTCTTTCAGTACTTCCAGTTTGTTTTCTGCTCGTTGTGTTTCTGATCCGTCCAGTAACCTACCTCATATACAATGAACTTCTCTGTGCAGTCTACCGTTCGAATTTTTCTACTACAAGTTCGTTTACTTATGTTAACTTTAAATTTGTTTCTTCTAGTCATTGATTATAATGGTAAGCCGGTTAGATAAGTCATTGTTTGAAATTTAACCTTCGATACAAGAAATCCTCTTGTTTCTGAGGAATATGCTAACTTTACTACTCACTTTTGTTTCCAGCAAAGATCAAGATCTTGAAAGCCGTCTCATGCCGATGCTGAAAGAAATCCTACATGAAAGAGGACAGCGGTGCATAGAAGATTTACGGGCATTCATTTCGGATCACCAACCGAATGAATCAGGAGTGGATGAAACAGGAGAAAAAAAATATGACTAGTTCTGAAATAACTTATTTTCCTGAAATTTGTGTATATCAGTTACCTTTTGTATTCTCACAGCATTTAGCTAAACCTATTTCTCCTGATGTCAGTCAATAAAGAGGTGTTATTCAACTGGAATGGAAAAATTTAACAGTTATGATCTTGTTAATAGTAAACTCGTTTGTTGCAATAAATCCATTCACTTTAATCATTATTCTGTTTTGTCACTGTGAAGCGAGAATCAGAAATGAAACATCGTTTTTAAAAATATTTGTTTACTAACTCATCCATATGTGATACCTTTACAAGTCCATTGTGGAATTGTAACTTATTTACATTCAGGGCTGCTGTTTCTGTTGATCTATGTAAAGGTTTTCTAACGATGCAGATACTTCGTCCATGAAAGGGATCGCTGCCGAATCGTACCACTTCTTATTTTCAGGACTTCCTGTATAAAAGAGAAACAATGGCTCACTGCATTGCTTCCAAAAGTTTTTTTTTTGTGTAATTGTTAGAACTTACGTGTTGGTACTTTCCTGATCCTGTCAGATGCATGTTCTACTCTAGACGCTGATTCTAGCTGAATGTTCCACTTGGGTTCCACTTGATTTTCGTTTATTATACTAGAATAAGCCCCTTTCTTTTCTCCCTACGAATGAAAATAAAAAGTCCTGCTTTCATGAAGTTGACATTAGAATAATTTTGGTTGTGCAATCCGTGATGAAAAGTCTCTTACTGCAGATAGGTTAGAGTTGAGTTTGTTTACCTGCATACATTGATAACTCAGGGCTTATCACAACATTTTAATTCTATGAAATATTTCTGTCCTAGTTTGTCTGAAACCATCTAGTTTTCCGTAAAAGCAATTGGGATGTTTACCGTGAGATCGGTTTTCATTTGGTGTTAAACCGTGCAAGTGGTATTTCGGTGAATCACATTATCTAATATTTTAGTAGTACCAGGCAAAAATTGTGTGCTTCGCATTATTTGTTTCATGTTCATGTTTTGATCATGTAAACGTTGGTGTTTTCATGGAACTAAAACGATCTAAAAGTTACATCAAGTGCTAGGTTTTACATGGACAAGTGATTGAAAAATTTGGCAGAAGATAAGTTAACTAGACCGTCCACTTGGTTATTCATGTTTGTGTGCGCGATTTCGCATTTCTTTTATCAATTTCATCTAATCATTGTAAATAGAATGAAATTCTGCAGTGCTACAGAATTTGATAGTCAGTCCAGCTAGTTGTCGACTGACAACTACTACTTCGACTTACCACTCGAACACAGTTCAACTAGCTATACTAATCGGGACGATTGCTCCTTACGATCCTATTATACTAGAAAGATTTGTTATATAGTAGTGAGACTAAGAACAATTACCGTCATAGTATGAACAACTTGTGAAGGTTCTGAAAGCGAACTCATATTGTTAGTTGTGCGGAATGTGAAGATAGTAGTGTTTTTCGGGTACAGCGAGGATTCCTATTTGATGCTGCCTTCCCGTTATCAAGAGGGGTGAACAAAATCGGCCTAAGAAGTAGCGTGCTTCACAGCTGTACGGATTTTAATGAAAACATCCTAAAGGACTGAAAAATCCAAAGCAAATCTTTTGTCCTCTCTGATCGCACACCTATGTCAGTTCGACTATCTCTAATAATTCTACTTTATTTTCCAGGCACTTAAGAACAGGTTATCATTTATGATGTGAGCACTAGACACTCATGTCCTTTCTGATCATCACAGTTTTGCCTTCTCATCTCTGTGTTAATGACGCTACGTTATCTCTAAGTCCTTTCAACTCAGCTGCCGCTGATGTGAATTCAAGCTGGAAAATAGTATAATGGTTTTACTAAATTGCGCTCCGAATTGTAAATCAGCGCTTCCAAAATTTTCATTTCACTTCAAAATGAGTAACATGTTTCCGTAGCCAAAACTGGCATCTATGGTCATGGATATATCCTGTTTGTGAGACACAGAATTCTAGCATAGTTATTCACTTGACCTCTCCTAGTTAATATAGTAAATCTGGGGAGTTCACTCTTCGAGTCTATGGAGATACTTCGGTTAGTTCTAGGAGTCTTGCAGGTGTAGGCGTGGCGTGAAGTCCCGAGGCAGGAAGTTCATTCTTTAACTAGATTCCCAGTTGATTGTCACCTATGTTCTATTCGAATAAGTGATGCAGTCAGAATTAGGAAGATTCGTCGTTGTCTCAGTAATGTCTGCCTACGCAGCTGCTGACTGCCTTTTGGATGATGAAACTGTTTGGCCTCATACTCAGTCAAATGTTCACATGTCGTAGTGGGTGATTTCAGTGCACAGTTAAGAAGACAACTAAGCAGAAAATAACTTTGATGGGTCATGAAATTCACGTACTACATCTATGCTCACCCGGCCATCTTTGTTTAAGCTCACTCGAATTTAAAATATGAATAGAGATTGCCTGATCTGATGACAACCCTGACCCTAACTCAGAGGTGTATCATAGTACTTTCAGCTATCGGCTAGAGATTGTTACTTAATATGAGATACATATCCTTCCTTTCTATTTTGCATTTTCATTTCTTCACCTTTTCCCTCGTACGTTTATGTGTTAATTTAGCAAGTGGCACATTGGGCCGTTAAATGGTAATGTCTGTTTTCATGTTACTGTTGTCTCTACTCAACTAATTAAGTTACCACAAAATGAGTGATCGTCTCGAGGAGCTGTGAATGTACTGTACCTTTTTTCTTTCATTCTGTCATACACCAAAAATGAGTATTGCATTTACCGTTGTGAGGTGTAATCAACATTTATTCATTTAAATTGAGAACCTTTAGCACAAACCGCGCTCTGAGATGAAAGTCCAGGTCATCTGTTTTCAGTTAGGGTTCTGAGTGGTGCTTCATGCTATCCACTAACATTTCTCACAAGTTTTATTGATAGGTTAGTCGTATCTTTTGGTTGTGTGAACTCATATAATGACTGTTGATGTATGAAATCTTTATAGTGAAGTGTTTTTATCTTTTAAAGCAGACGGACACGGAACTTACTTTATTAGTTGTAGCCTTTTTGTTTGTTTTCTTTTGCTTCGCATTTTGGCACTGGAATGGAAACAAGAATGTGTTGTGCAGATAAACTACATTTCTCAAAACTCATTAGTCAATAGTTCATAATTTCTTCGACTTTTTAGTTGCTTGATGAATTGTAGTGTGCCAGGTGTGATGTATTTTAATCAAAATACATTTCAAATTGTCGCACTACGGTTTCTAGCCGTTATGGTTTATGTATTACTGTTGGTTAACTGCAATAACATGAGAGCTGTGACTCATTCATCTTCTACTCGTATAAGATTCTGTTTTTGTATCAAGAAATGGAAGAGAAACCGCGCAACTCATCATTATTTCCTTTCTTTCGTCTATGTTATGAGCTACTGAATATCCTTTACTTGGTTGTATGTTTAGCAAAAAGTAAATCTCAACTTGACATTGTTTTTGTGTCTACCTAGGATCGATTCGTCTCAATCCAACTCTTTAGTTTTCAACACCGATTTGTGTTATAGGTTCAAGAAGTGTTCAAATGTTCAAGCTTTAGAAGACGTTGAGGCGTGAATACATCTGCGACATTGTGATCGACTTCCAGTCATGTCTTCATTAGTCTTCAACCACTGATTCATTTCTTCTGGGGATTCTCGAACAGGCAGTATACCTCTTCCACAGGGCTCAAACCAACATTTACGGACTTGATGCCACATCTTGATCCGATCACCCTAAATCCTCTTCCAACCTAATCCAACTTCGAGCCTGGCACATCGAGGTAGGTGGTGGTTCGGCATTCACAGTACGTGTCCGAACCGTTTTTGTCGACTAATGTCTGCAACCCCGTCAATTGACTTATCTGTCTGGTCAATTACCCTTCGCCTGATGTCAACATTTCTCACACGGTGTTTACACCAAGCGTGATGAATGCTACAAAGGCATCTGTGATTGGAACCCCATAGTCTTTTCATATCCTCTATATATACCGGCCATGTCTCATAGCCGTACAACAGGAGAGAATGGACTGCAGCGCAGTATTCTCGTCCTTTGATAGATAGTCGAATATTTCTCCAGTTGGAAAATTCCAAACGGGCCTATATCCGAGCTGAGATTTCGTCAGCAATCAGCCGCTTCGAGTTGATTCAACTCCCAGAATATGTGAAGTGATGAACAGATTCAACCACTTCACTCCTTATCATTAGACTAGGAGTAGTTGCAGACCAGCCGTGAAGCATCATCTTACATTGGACAGATGCTAGTGAGACATGCCAAACATACGCAGATTTCTGCTGAATGCATCTAGCTTACCCCTTATGTTGTCAGCGTCTTCATCCAGGAGGACATTATCATCTGGATACTCTAAGTTAACTAGATGATTTCTAGCAAGTAGGTCAATTCCTGTGAAGTCAGACGTACCTAAGGTTATGTCTATTAGTACGTCCATGACGAAGTTGAATAGGAACGGTGGTAGTGGGCATCTCTGGTGAACACCGCTAGTTGTCCATTCTGATGGTAACTCTCCATAGACCCTACACGGCTACATGAGAGAAAACTTTGTAAATCGTCATGTGCTTGTTCGGTACTCTCGTCACAATCAGATACTACCACAGCCCCTCATGACCAACAGTCATTCCGCCTTGTCAAGAAATATGGCGTGCCGGCCGACGGTAGGAATGCCTGTGTTCCAGAACCTGTTTAGGGATAAAAAGTGATCAATGCGCCACCACCTGGGTTTGAAACCTGCTTGTCTTTCTCGAATGTGCTCTTCTGGAGCTGTAGTTAGAATCTTGGACAATATTAGTTAAACAAATTCCCCATGGTTGTCACAAGATTTCTTATAGACTGGGATGATCAAAGAATTAGACCGCTTAAATGGCACCCCTTCTGATTCCCATACACTACCTAGTACCTCCGTCAAAGTAGCAATTTCTTACCTCAATCCTTGATGTAAATGCTAATGGCGTGAAACTAGGTAGTTAATAACGTAAAATACTTTTTAGTGACTAATGTTTGGTAAGTGCGAATTGGCCTCATTAAGGAATTGGAAAGTATGGTGCTGAAACAATTTTACTGACTGACGCTGAAAGTAGCCAATAAGAATGAATGATGGTCAGGTATACAAAGATAAAGTTTCTGTATAACACGAATTAGAAACTGAAACTGAAGTAATCATTCTTGGTTACTTTTCATTAGTATGATAATATGAGTTTTCAAAAGCCGTTATATTTGACAGGTATCTTAGGCTACTTTTTTGGTTAACTTGGAGAAAGGTGTAAGTACATACGTATGTAAGAGTTGTATAGTGACGCTGAAGTTTTATGAACGCATACTTGTTTGTGATGTGTTGGACGTCTCTTCGGAAGCCATTGTATTACTTTACACAGGTCAGTGCCAGTGTTTGGTTTTTCACTTTCTTCAGTAAGTCGAAAAGTTGTCTTTCAGCATGTTCAGTAAAGTCTTGCTGATTCATGGGCTTGGTTAACTTTTTTATTGGAGAGAGTAACTGAAAATTTGTTTATGTAGCCGGAGTTATTTGGAAGTGCGTCGATTGTCCTTCTGAATAAATCCGACTACATAAACAAGATTTTCAGTATTCACGGATATTTATGGTTACAACGGTAACTTATTATGGCACCGAATTATTCTTATGATCTATTTCATTTATATCTTTTAACTACATTTGATTTTGTGGGAGATTAAATTAAAAGGGTTCAGGGATTGATTGGTTTATTGTGTATCTGTTCCAAAGTTACGTGTCGAGAAATATGGTGCTATCGAAGCTGATTCACATCACGTTTGTATCATATCATGTGCAGTAATGCATTTTGCATAGTAAAGCAACTCACGTTCGTGACTAATACATTGAGAAGTTTTTTCCCATTGGGTTCCTGGTGAAACATAGGGCTTCAGTAGCACACCTCCATTGCACTCCATTCTCTGCAGTCTTTTCAAACTGGCTCCACGACTTCCCACATGCTTTCATTTCTTACTCACATGATCTCCTCCATGTCACTCTCGGACACCCAACTCGTTTCTCCTTTGGATTCCACTTGAGGCCCTGGCGCGTGATGTCCCCAGTCGGCCCTCTCAGTGTATGCCCAATCCATCCCCACTTTCTTCTGCATATTTTTTGGGTGATAGGTTCTTGGTTGGTTCGTTCTCAGAGTTCCTTGTTGCTTATTCTTATTATCCTGACCATCTGATTTTCAGTATCGAGCGTGCGTGGGTGGCGGTTGTTGTTGAATGTCAGTAGTTTGTTGGAAATGCTTTTCGTGACGCGCCAAGTTTCTGAACCATATAGAAGCACTGACTTGACATTTGTGTTGAAAATCCGGATCTTGTTCACGCCTTATGCTGAGTGCAGTAGATTTCCACACTGATTTCAGATTAATGAAAGCCCCTCTTGCTGTGTTGCCGATAGTGGTTTTGATGTCCCCATCGGTCAAACAGTGTATACCCATCTCACAGCTCCTCACAGTTAGTTGCATGATCCATCCAGTCCAGTCAACCACAATAAGGAAGATGATCGGTGATAGTAGGCAGCAGCCTTGTCTTGTCTTGCTCGTTTCTTCACTTCAAAGGCATCACTGAGCTTTCCACTGTGGATCACTTGACATGTGGCGTCGTCATATAGCTGTTGGATGAGGTCGATAAAGATTGGTGGCACTCCGTAGTGTTGAAGCAGTTGCCAAATTACTTCTCAGTCAACACTATCGAAGGCCTTTTCAAAGTCGTTGAAGTTGAGGTAAATATCTAGTTGACTGCCATTTTACTCTCTGTTCTATGATGATGGATAGTGTAGGGTTGCAATTTGATCCGCACATGATTTGTTTTTCCTGTAGCGTGCCAGTCCACCTGTTTTGGTCGTAATTTTGAATTCTGAGCAGTTTGAGTCTCTCCAGGATGATGTGGCTAAATATTTTGCTTGGGGTGGACAATAGGATAATTCGTCGCCAGTTCTTGTAAAGACTTATGTCTTCCTTCTTTGGGAGTTCGACTAGGTGGCTTTTTTTCCAGTCACTGGGCAAGTACCTTTCCTTTCTTCCAAACCTTCTAAAGTAGTGGTATGAATATGTCCACTGTTGTCTCTGCGTCTGTTTTCATCGCTTCTGGTGGAATTCCACCTGGTCCTGCTGCTTTCCCTGATTTCAGCAGTTTTATGGCATTCAGGACTTGTGCTTTTATCAAGGGGCTTGTGTTCGGTGATAAATTCTGTGGCTGGGCTGCTGGTGGTATCTCTGGACGAGTTGCAGGTGGTGGTCTATTAAATAGCTTTTTGAAGTGGTCAGCTCATTGTTTCCTTTGCTTCTCCTCTTTGTTAACTAGCTTTCCTTCACTATCTTTCATTGGTTTCGTTTGCGTTGATCTCTTTCCGGATGTTTACCTGGTTATTTGATATAATGTTGTCAGATCTTTCCTAGCAGCCTGCAGCCTGTTCGTCTTCACTTGCCAGTGTGTCGTGGAAGTGCTCTTTGTCTTTGCGCGCACTCTTCTTCACTTCTTTGTCCAGTGTAGTGTTTTACAGGTTGTGTTCAGTTCCTCTTTTCCTTGTTCATTCCTGCAATGCACTGGTTTATCTTCTGCTTCACCATCTTCCTTACCGTTTTCTGTCAGCTTCCATGTGTCCTTGGAGATCCATTCCTTGTCTTGTTTCCTCTTCCTTCCTAGTACGGTTACTCAGGTTTCCTTCCACATCTTTTTCAAAGAGTTCCAGTGTTCTTCCACGTCCGATCCTTCAGGGATGTTGCTCAATGTCTCCCATTTTGTCCTGATGACTGTCGATGTGAGGATGTCTTTTGTAGTTTCTTCCTTCAGTTTGTGTCCCGGGTGTTGATCTTGAACTATGGTTTGTCACCACCAACTTCTTTGAAGGCTGTCAACTTGATTTTGAAGGTTCCTTGCACTAGCTGTTGAGTGGTGTGAACCTACATCTGCTCCCCTTCTTGATCTTGTGTCAAGTAGGCTGCGTCTCCATTTTCTTGAGATTGAGATGAAGTCGATCTGATTTTTAGTGTGTCGTGGTGTCTGGTGAAATCCATGTCGCAGTGTGAATTTCTTTGTGATACATTGAAATGAAAATACACAAATGGTAAGAGGATGAACAACTGGTCGTTTGTATGCGTACTTGCATATGTATGTATATAGGCACGTATGTTATCGGAGACCAGAAGATTCGATCGTGTATGATTAACAACAGAAAATTATCAGTGTAAATAAATAAACGCTGCTTTATATCATTTAGAAATAGTCTATGGTTACTTACTCCACAGGACTGTTGATTCGATTGACTTCTTAGTGTTCGTAGTATAATGAGAATTATGCAAATTGTGATGATTGCTACAAGTGCTACAGCTATCATAATTGTTGCCATTTGTTCTCTCTGAAGTGAACAAGAAACAGTGAAAGATTTATTATAAGGTAATTAATATTTTGACACCGAATATAGTGGTTGGAATGGTCAACCTAACGTTTCTTCTCGCAATGTGTAGTCTGACAATGAAATATTCACCACTGGTCTGTTCAATGCACTGTACTCTACAACCATGCCTTTTTGTATTTATTTACATACCCATTGTTGTATGTGTAGCCAGATAGAATGAGACGCAGCCAATCGATGTACTTCGTGTGTTTGTCTTTCTCTTTATTCTTTGACATTCTGATTAAGCTGCCTAGACATTGCAGGCCTTGTACACTTCTCATATATTTTGCCAAGCAATAACAATTATGTGGGCCAGCCATCTAACTTCACCTTCTCTCTGAGTTAGCTGATATGATGTCATTTGATGTAGGAACAACTAGGATACAGTAACTCGGGCTACAATACTTGTTAGTAGCAACGTCGAACATTCCCCTCAGTTCATTAATTATAGAACGCAACAGAACCCCAAACAGAAGTTAGAACTAAAACATCGGGTCAACCTGTTGAATCCACTACTTTCCTAAGGACTACTAGATAGACCAATCAGGTCTCCTTATTTCATAAACCAATCTCTCCAACTGAAATGAAGAAACTTATTTGGTTATTTCAGCTGTTACCAAGGTGGTCTTTAAGGTCACTCGTCATTACTTTCTTCTGCAGCAAGATTACTACTTATTTCCATTATACAATAAGTGAATTAAAACGTAAAATTAGTCAGAAGTTCCTGTCATTGATGGCTCCAGTCAAGACGCAGAAGTGATGGAAATAGTAGCTTTCTTTTTATTTAATCGAGAAAAGCACATCGATCATAGATTTTGTTGCTCTTTACAAATTCATTTTCTGTTTTTCACTGTCAACATTTATGTTCATATCATATCCTTACTATTAACACATTTCGATAAATCGATTGAATAGCGTGTTTCTTACACCAATAATGGGAATTTCAGTATCCTCTAACTGCTTTTTATGGAGTTACATGCATGCGAGAAGTTTCCTTTCTTGAAACCACATGATCACTCGATGCATAATTTCTTAATCTGTGTAAATAACTGTAGGACCTGAAGAAGAAATCATCGAAAAGAATATTGTTTGTTCACTCAAGTGGCTTTTGAATCTGCAGCTACTCAGGTGTGGATGCTCTGTCACCTTCACCCATCAGTCTTGGAAACCAACAATCACTAATTAATAGTAAAAATTGTTTACGTATGCATATTTTAGGGTTTTTTTAATGTCAGTTGCAGTTTGCACGTGCTAATGTGTATGTGTATCTATATCCAGTCTTCAGTAACTTCAGCTCAGCCTAATAACAACTGAAGTAATCGATATACGTTCTTAATTTTATGAAAATCTACCTCTCCAGTTAGAGTAAATAAACCTTATTTAGCTATTCCAGTTGTTGCTACGGTGGCCTTCAGAGTCATTCACAGCGTTTCATTTTAAGTTGAAGTTAGGTTAAGTTTGATTGGTTATTTCCCTTGTTACTATAGTCGTCCTAAATTGGGCGACTTTAACGGTCACCTTGGCACCTGTTAAAATACCAGTCAGGCTTCGGTATTCCGGCTGGTAGGCTATTCTTCACAAAGTGAGAACCGTAATTGGGTATCCCAGTAGTTGGTAGTATGCCTTTTGAAGTGGTACTTAAATGTATCTCATGTTTAAAGTAGAATGACTTTTAAAGGCCACCCTGGCAACAACTGAAGTAATCAATCAAGCTTCTTTATTTTATGAAAATCTGCCTTTCCAGCCGAAGCTAAGATACCACGTTGGTTATTTCGATCGTTACTAGGGTGGCCTTTAAAGTCACCCCTAAAATAAGGGGATCTAAAACCCTTCACAGGACAATAATGACTGACTCTGAGGTCCAGCCCTGTAAACAATCAGGTTTCCGTATTTTAGCAAGAAAAGTAGTTTTTCATAAAAACCATGATTGGCCAGTAGTTATAAAGGTGGTCTTTAAAGTCACCCGCAATAAAAACCATTGATATTAGTCTGAAGGAAAAGTATCAATGGGATGGGTTTCTTGTCCAGTGATCACAAAACGAATGAAAATTACAGAGTAGTATAACTGATCTTCAGTCATTTGTGTGATATCTCATTTTGGAGTTTTGCGGTTGTTTCTACTCCCACTTTTACTAGATAATCGTAGTTTATCCGAATTAACAACAAATCGATAATGGGAGCTTCTCTTCATCTGGGTGCCTGTCCGTCTGTCTATCCTCTCTCTCTCTTTCTCTCTGTATATATATTCTCTGAAAGCGGGAAACGGTGAGCCTAGTTTTCATGCTATTGTGACACCTTTGTAAGATGCATCTTGTAGTTTTGAGGAAATTATGCTCCATTGAAGATTAGAAACCATCTCACTTAGTGGGAGTACTTGAAGTATTCACCGGTCACTAATGGATTCGGTAAACAGATTAATCAGTAGATAAAAAACATGATATTTCTTAAGTTGTAATTGATGATCAAAGCCTATCGATCATATCTGTCAAGTAAAGTTTGCTCGTAAACAGCTTACCGAAATTTTACTAACCAATGCTTTTTTGTGTATGTGTATTTCAGAGAATCAATCAAACAGTTGTTGATAAGTGTTTACGAATTACTGTGAGCGAATATTGAGTGTAGTATTTTTTGTGTGTACTTGCGAAATCACTTTTTTCTCAAAGAATATAACTTCTGAATTTGTTGAATTGACTAAATACTTCCAGATACATGATGTACAACAAAATATTCGAGCGACTTTAAAGGTCACCCAAAAATAACCAAGAAATTCACACTTGACTATCAAGAATAATTATTCAAACAAATGAAAATAATTAATTTGACTATTTCACTAAGAAAACATTTTCAGTCAGATTATTTTTGATGCATTAGGTTTAACTAATAGAGCGTTGTCTTTATATTAACTTATCGAGCAGTCACTATGTACTTATACCTGGTTGACTGTAAATGTGTAATATCAGGTGTAATTCACCTTAGCGTTATATCGCCCAGCTGGTTGTTAACATCAAGGACGTGATCACTACATGTAGACGATTGTCTAGGGCTAGATGACTATGTAGGTTACTGCACAGTAATTAATTCGCGTATCTGATCAGTACTACTAGAGAGGGAGGCAGGGAGAAAGCTATGGTCTAAATAGTCTATCAGTGATGTCTTTGACCTCATAAGTGAATGGTGCATACATGCGTCCTCAAAGAAATCAGGTCGGAAGGGAAGAAAAGTACTCAGAGATGGTATTGGATCAAGGTCGCACCGTATCGTGAAATGACAGAACCAGGAAATTATGCACCATCAGATTGCGACCCAGTGGTCAAATGGTAACGTAGTGGCCATTGGACCTGAAGATCCTGGGTTCGATTCGATCCCTGACGTGGCGGAGCATCACGTCAACATTAAACTTGTCAAGTACTTTTTAGAGTAGATATTCTCAGTGAACTTCAGTTTTGTTGAGTTGTGGCTCACTGGTTTAAGGTGTTGACTTCCAATCAATGGATTACGGATTCCAACTCTGTTTCGCCTACCGAGGTTTGGGCAATTAGGGAGTATTACTAACCCTCACACAATAGGTGTGGCTCATTGTCTCCCACACTAATGTGTGCAAGGTTGCTGAGGACATTTCGATTCTATTTCGACTTCTGTTATTGTTTTTATCTCAGACAGAAACTCTTTATTACCTATCATCTGGGGCGAAAACTTTGAGTAGAGAAGTCTTAGTACTACAATGAGCCTAGTCAGCATTTGTTTTCGAAGTAGACACTGACAGACAGAACTTGTTTTAAAATAACATAACTGAATTCTAGAGTGATGCTAAGGGTAATTTTTAAAAAACTACTAGGGTAACTGATCAAAGTTTCGTAATTCATGAAACAAACTACCTTTACAGTTGAATTAAAGAAACCTAATTGGTTATTTCAGCCATTGCTAGGGTGGCTTTTAAAGTCACCCGAATTCCAACTTTAGTTCAAACTATTTTTCTGGTTTAGATGCATCGATAAGCGGATTCGTTTCGCGAATTTCGGTAGCAGGTCTGTCATACTACAGTTTTCACTGTAGAATACTTGTCTTAGAAACTGACGATCTCTTACACAAATTGACTGGCTATTTAAATAAAGTTGATTCAACGCTACGATAAATAATTTCAAAACCACCGCCCCTTTTTTTAAAATTCAGTCCACTTATCAAGTAAGTAGTTGGCTGAAACAAAATCTGATAAAGCTTATGCTTATAGGGTAGGTATCATGTAAAGACTAATGATAAGCGTTATCAAAGTCTTTTAAAATACCAGGCTGATGTCAACAATAAAAACACTTTTTACTTGCTCACACACACAAAATGATGAGACCGTTAGTTTCTTTGCTCTGAAGCCTGACTTATTCACTCTCAGTATTAGTGTCAATAGATCAGACTTATCATTTACAAGTGAATCAACAATCCAAGTATAATTTAATTACTGGTATCAGCTGGTCGTGGTTGCTGATAACGTAACTAACCGTTTTCTGTAATTATGAATGTATTCAAAAGCAATTTTATTCTCTTACAAATGAGCGTCACAGTATTCATAAAAGACATTATAAACAACTATTACCATTTGTTGACATACTTGTAATTCTCCGCCATCTCCTACCTTAACTTGGCTGTCAGACTTACATGTCATAATGACTAAATGAGCTCCATTGGTGTGGACGATTGTTTCTGAAGTCCTGTCTTAATAGAAGGGTCTGTTGGTACGACAGAAATCGGTTACCATCGCAATGTAAATTGCTATGATAAGAGTCGGAAGGGGAAGTTGTACTGTTGACTGGACTCAGGTTTGACAACGATAAAATACCGCGTGTGATTGCATGCGGTACACACTGATGATGCCTTCTCTTTGGAAGGTGGTGGGAGTTGGAAAACATTGACCACAAAGGTAGCACACTCCCCCCTACCTTACGGTCTTCTGACGCTAAGGTCTAGGTTTT